TGTAAATCCTGTCCCTCAGAATCCCCTCCAACAATCTACCCACCACTGACATAAGGCTCGCTGGTCTATAGTTCTCTTGCTTTTCCATTCCACCTTTCTAAAATATTGGCACCACATTAGCCAACCTCCAGTCTTCCAGCACCTCATCCGTGGCTATCAATGATACAAATATCTCCACAAAAAGCCCAGCAATCACTTTCCTAGCTTCCTACAGAGCTCTGGGATACACCTGATCAGGTCCTGGGGATTTATTCACCTTTATGCATTTTAAGATGTACAGCACCTCCTCCTCTGTAATATGGACACTTTTCAAGGTATCACTATTTATTTGTCCAAGTTCTCTAGCTTCCATATCCTTCTCTGCAGTAAACACCAACACAAAATACTTGTTTAGCATCTCATCCATCCATCTCCTGCCGTTCCACATACAGTCAGCTTTGTTATCTTTAAGGGGCCCTATTCTCTTCCCAGTTACTCTTTTGCTTTTAATACATTTGTAGAATCTCTTTGGATTCTCCTTAACCCTATTCGCCAAAACTACTTCATTTCCCCTTTTCGCTCTCCTGATTTCCCTCCTGAGTATATTCCTATTACCCTTATACTCAGAGGGATTCACTCGATCCCAGCTGTCTACACCTACCATATGCCACCTCCTTTTTCTTGACCAGGCCCTCAATTTCTCTCGTCATCCAGCATTCCCTATACCTATCAGCCTTGCCCTTTACGCTAACAGGAATATATCGTCTTTTCCACTTTTGAAGGCCTCCCGCTTTCCAACTGTCCCATTATCTGTGAATAACCTCTCCCAATCAACCTTTGAAAGTTCTTGCCTAATACTCCAATATAGAACTTCAACTTTTAGATCAGGTCTAATCTTTTCCATAACTATTTTAAAACTAATAGATAATGATCACTGGCCCCAAAGTATGCCTCCACTGACATTTCAGTCATTTGCCCTGATTTTATTCATAGTTCCAGGAGAGTAATGCCATTACAGTATCTACTACATCTCATTGAACCTAATACCAAACATCAAGACACTTGTCTAATAGATCTGAATGCAGTTCTATTTTCAAAATTTTAATGACAAATGTGTATTTTTAAAAGATTGTACTTACTCCCAGAATTATAGTTCGCAACTATCAATATAAAGAAAAAAAAAGGAACTTGAAGGTTTGTTTTTAAACAATTTAAGAAACAAATAATTTCTATGCATGCAAGTTTGAGACATTTAAATGAAGCTTCATGAATTGGAATGAAACTTGATACTGACACTTCAAAGAATATTAAAAATGGTGTACTTAAAATAACTAAAATACACATATTCTGAATTTTATATGACGATATTATAAAAGAATTTTGTGTCTAAGCAAAATTAACTTACAAATCTTTTTTCCAAAGCATCAAAACAGCCCATCATCCTGGAAATAAAAAACAGGACTTAAATAACCACATACAGAAAAGTGAATCAAGCTGTTTATTCCAGACCAACATTTCATGTAATATGGAGAATTCACCTCTGACTCAATGACCTGGCTCTTCTGTGAAGTGGCCATCACTGTTGGATTGCTGCCCCAGTCCTACTTTTCTAAACCATGGCTCAACTCTAAATTTCTGGCCGGGTCTTCTGATTTGGTGTCTTAAGATTTGCTGAGCAAATTTTCAATAGGTGATCTTCCTTGTAGCCTAAATAACTGAGGGTTGAAGACAGACCATGGTCCCTCTTTATGGTACCAGCTGCCATAAGGCAAGTTCAAGGGGATGAATGAATGGGTGGGGTGATAGAGTGTATAGGTGGGTATAGTAGCAGGTTGGTGAGGGAATAGGTCGGTTGGGTAGCAGCTGGATAGGCTACTAGGGCAGCTTGTTTGGAAGCTGGCAGGAACCTGACTTCAGCATTTAACTTGAGTGTATATGGTGTTGGAAACCACTACTCAGTGAAACTTGAAACTATTCAGCGTTATAAGATGGCACCGGAGAGCGGCAACACTTTGCATATAACATGCGAAAAAACACTTTTCACTGCATTTTTATATAGATGTGACAAAAAATCTCAATCTACAGAACTGATAGTAATGCTATTAACAGAAGTTGAAATAATTCAATGTATTTTGAATACTGGATTCTGTCTTTAACTGTCAGTGTGTGTGTTTCTACATTCTCTTGCAAATTGTCAGGCTGAACATGTCAAGAAGACAATGGGTTTGATAAACCTGTGCAATTAACATGCTGCAATGTCTTTAAATACTGAAATATGACAGCTGTTTCTCTGCATAAGTGAAAGGCCGTGCCCGCAGAATATTTTCTGAGAATGTTTTCACTCCTTCAGAGCTTATTTCTCCTATTTTTGAGTTTTTAACCTTTGATTTGTCCTTTCTGGCTATTAGCCTTTTCAGCATCAGAGACACTTATGCAGTTCGGTTTCAGATCTCTGATGAGCGACAAGAGGATTAGCACCAGTAGTTGCAGCATGAGTAGCTTCCTTCTTCTCAACAAACTGTGGCTCCTTGGGACAGGGGGAATGGAAGCTTGTTCAAGATACCCAGGATTCTGCTGTGATGTCTTTATTCTTCACTAGTTAAGTCTCCCACACATTTTTGTCACCTATTAGTAGGGTCAGTGATTGGCTCCTTGGAGGTGAGAGCTAAACAAAATGTCTTAAAAATTTTGACCAGCCCTATCATTGTCACCCACGAAATATGCAACCAAAGCCACATAAGCACAAGCACAGTCATTGCGCACATCATCTGATTCTGAAGATGCAGTTTAGTTACCTGGATAAATCTGGGGATGCCTACATTATGCACCAGTAAGTGTGTCCAGACTGTTTACGTTTTGCTGCATTTGCGCAATTTATCACAGTAGGAAGAACTAGAACCATTGGAGGAGCAAACTGAAACCACACTGCATCTTCAGAGGAGGAGGACAAGGTGCAACAAAAAGAGCAGGAGGAAAGGGAGAAGTATTGAGGCTACTTCTAGTTTCTTCCTTAGCTGCCAAGGATGCCTGGAACCCTAACTTTTGTGGCCACACAACCGTTAGGAAGGGTCTTAGCTTTATTGAAATATCTGGTGGCTTTGTACAGAGGGAAGTATTTCAATGTGGTTGATACTTCTCCCTTAATACTCTCCTAAGTAGTAATTAATCAGATTTGATGGTTTCAAGAACTTCCCACTTGGGAACCCCACAGGGTCCGATGTAATGCTCCTTCATACCAGCTTCTGTAATCCTTGTTGACTTAAATTCAGCAACAAATTGAATAGGGTGTAAAACCAACAGGTTAGGTTTTGACTGGTTTTGATGAGTTAACATTTTCCCCATTGGGCAGGGTACAAATCTAGCACATTGGCTTGCACTTCTGGAAGTCACTGTCATGCACAGACCCTGGAAGGCTGTGCAGCAGAAAAAGATAATTAGCAGGTTAGCTGGGGCAAACACATTCAGGCATATTTATCTAACTCACACTCCCAAAGCCTGTCCGCTATGTTAACTTGCAGAGGATGAGTGCAGCTCCAACAACTATCAAGACGTTTGGCACTATTCAACACAAAGCAACCCTTTTTATTGGAACACTTTTGAATGCCTTATAACACTCACTCCCTCCATCACAGGTAGATAACAACAACAGTATGTGCCATTTAAAATACAGGGATAGCAGCAACTTCTAATCCTGCTAACACTATCACCTCAAAGAACAAGGGCAGCAGGCATGTAGGAACACCACTACCTACAAGTTCCCCTCCAAGTTACACATCTTTTGTACTTGAAATTATATTGGTGTCTATTCATTATTGCCAGATCAAAACCCTCAAAATACCCTCACTATCATCACTGAGTGTACCTGCACATGTGGACTGTAGCAGTTCCAAACGTTGAATCACTGCTATCTTCTCAATACCATCAGACGTATTCCAATAAATGCTTGTCTTACCGTCACAGTCCACATCACAAACAGTTATAAAACAAATCTGAGGCAGAGCGTACATCTGGTATACCAATGCTAAATGCACTGCACTCACTCACCTGCCTCAATACAAAGCAGTCTCATATCCTTCTCACTGACAGGGGCAACAATCGGAAGAGAAGACACTGGGGCATTTAATATATTGTTAAACAGCCAAGTGATAATCCTTGTGCGACTACAAGTTGTTTCTCTTTTTCTATTCCTTCAACCTAGTGTTCCTTCTGCAGCTTCAATAGGGTTTGAGGCCTGATGTTCATTCCCTTGCTGACTGCTGAGATACTTATAGCCTTATGTTTTGAATCCACCAGGAGCCAGCCAAGGATCACTCAACTACACCTACAATGCAAAGTCAAACTTGGCTAGTAAAAATCACATCAGGAGTCAGCACGAGGCACTCTCACTTTAATTTAGCCCAAAAATCGGAAGACTGCGTGCACTTTCAACAAAATTCCTACTTCCGTGCTCCTTTTCTCCATCTTAATTCTCAGGACCCACTTGCACTTTCTTGCTAACCAAGAGATGAAGAGCACTTTGCTGCACTTCAGTAAGACACTGAATGGCCAAAGAAAGGTAGTTGTCCATCTGAAGTTGATATAATGAGTGCAAAGGCCATCAGTCAAGGCCAGCATGCATGTAGATGCTTGATGCATTTGAAGCTTCGTGCATTTGGCCACTCCCTCCATAGATGTAGAAATCACTGCAAAGGCCTGTGACATCTGAGCATTTACAGTGAAGCTGAACTTTTCCAATTTATCTCCAAAATACATGCAAAATACCTCTGAAAATACTGTCATAACATCACAAATTTTCTGGAGATGCCAAAGGACAGCCTTGTCCGCCAACAATCTGAGGCTCAGCCCGTCTCCTGCTGAACAAAACTTGGCATGACTCCACTGAAAATTGTCTATTTCTGTTCCATGCTCCAATACTTGGTCCTACTCAATTTTAATATATTAAATTCCGTCCGTTATTTATAAATGGCAAGGTGGAGGGTTCTCAGTTTTCTCATTATGAAATCATCCTTTTCCATTGCTTGCTAACATCAAGTCAGCATGAATGTTTTAAGTCATGTATCTGTCTGATATCTCATTCTATCATCAGGTAGCTGCGAGACCCATATGTTTGAAATTCTGCTCATCTCCAGAGCATCCTCTGACATAGCAGTCACGATTGTGATGCCTGATTGGGTACCTCCATTTTTTTGTACTCTTTGTCTGCAAAGAAAGAAAGAAAAATGTCTTAAATATGAAAAAAATTAATGTCTTGAGAGGATGGAATGATAACATATCTGAAGAGTCACTGAGCTGGTTGGGTGTGATACGGCAAAGAGTGGCATTGGAGGGTTGACCAGATTAGGATGTGAGCAAATGTTTTGATAATAAATGGACAGGTTCACTTGCGAGGTGTGTTGCTGTGAGGAATGTTGTGTCTGAGAATCCTGGGTGTCAGATGAAAGGGATTTGCAGTTGAATCTGCCATGTCACCTGCCTTTCAGCACTGAAGAATTTACCGCAGTACCAATATCCAGGAGCAGGACACCACAGTCCTACCTACTGCTGATCTCTTCTGTCAATTCCAGCTATGCTTACTTCATACTATCTAGTGTTTACAGAATGTTCCCACTGAGCCTGCAGCATGATGTTCAGGGATGCAATGGAGAACTCAGGGGTTGGACGAAGACTTCCCTTATTGATACAACATCTTTCAATTGGTTCGTTCTCTTGATTGTTGTAGAATTCTTCTTTTGCTGGCCATTGCAGGTCCAGTGAAGCTTTAAAGGGTAAGTGCAGATGGTCACAATGTCCGTGCATTGTAATTCATTGGGAAATTTGGAAGTGGAATGATAAAACGTGGCTTAGTTAAAACACCTCTGAAAAGCTTAAACTGTAATAATCCTGATGCAGTGCTGGTCCTGCCCAGCTGCAAGGAGGAAAATCAATAAAATACAGTCCAAAGTTTCACAACAAATTAATTTAGTATAATACTGAACATGCAATTGAAATGTTGAGATAACTTAACCAATTTACATTTAAAAAAATTAATTTAACTGTATGTTTTACGCTAATGTTATCTAAGTAAGAGACGGGGTACTGACCATTTTACGACTTTGGATGCTCCAGGAAAACGACTGTCCTCACGCAGAATTTTTACGCACATGCCTGTAAAACATTATAATGATCAAAATTAATTTTAGATATTTCAGATGCTCGCAATATAAAAGTAATGAACACAAATTTAATTAATCATACCTTTATTTACTGCATTAAGGTAGGACAAAAAAAACCATTTGAATTGTTATGGTGTAAATAAATCTTAGTAATTTATGAGAACATAACACCATAAGAAATAGGAGCAGGAGTAGGCCATCTGGCCCCTTAAACCTGCTCTGCCATTCAATAATGGCAGATCTTTTCCATGGGCTCAGCTCCACTTACCCACCTGCTCACCATAACCCTTAATTCCTTTTCTGTTCTATCTTTGCCTTAAAAACACTCAATGAGGTAGCCTTAACTGCTTCACTGGGCAGGAAATTCCACAGATTTACAACCCTTTGGGTGAAGAAGTACCTCCTTAACTCAGTCCTAAATCTACTCTCCCTTATTTTGAGGCTATACCCCCTAGTTCTAGTTTCACCTGCCAGTTGAAATAACCTCCCTGCTTCTATCTTGTCTATTCCCTTTATAATCTTATGTTTCCATAAGATTCCTCCTCATTCTTCTAAATTCCAATGAGAATAGTCCTATACTATTCAATCTCCCCTCATAAGCCAATCCTCTCAATTCTGGAATCAACATAGTGAAACTCCTCTGCACTCCCTCCAATGCCAGTACATCCTTTCTCAAGTAAAGAGACCAACACTGTATACAATACTCCAGGTGTGGCCTCACCAGCACCCTATACAGCTGCAGCATAACCTCCCTATTTTTAAACTCCATCCCTCTCGCAATGAAGGACAATTTTCCATTTATCTTCTTAATGACCTACTACACCTGCAAAGCAACTTCCTGTGATTCATGCACAAGGACACCCAGGTCCCTCTGCACAGCAGCATGCTGCAATTTTCACCATTTAAATAACAGTCCATTTTGCTGTTTCTCATACCAAAATGGATGAACTCATATTTACCAACATTGTACTCCATCTGCCACTCACTTATCCTATCCATATCCCTCTGCAGGAGCAATTTACTGCAGGTGCTGGAATCTGAATTGAAAACAGAAAGTGCTGGAGATCACAGCAGGTCTGACAGCATCCATGGAGAGAAAGCAAGCTAATATTTCGAGTCTAAGTGACTTTTCAGCTCTGATGAAGTCATCTAGACTTGAAACATTAGCTTGTTTTCTCTCTCTGGATGCTGCCTGACCCGCTGTGATTGCCAGCATTTTTTGTTTTCAGTTTATATCCCTCTGCAGACTTTGTGTCCTCTACACACTTTGCTCTACCACTCATTTTATTGTCATCTGTGAACTTGGACACACCACACTTGGTCCCTAACTCTAAATATTCTATGGGAATTCTAAACAATTGCAGTCCCAACACTGTTCCCCGAGGCAAACCACTAGCCACTTATCACCAACCAGAAAAACACCCATTTATTCCGAGTGTTTGCTTTCTGTTAGTTAACCAATCTTCTATGCATACTATTACCCATAATGCTGTGCACCTTTATTTTATGCAGCATATAGGAGCCAATGAACTATTATTGCAATTTAGTTGATGACCTTAACTGCTATTGTGAGCAGACAAAAATGTAAGTTGAGTTAAAGAAGAAAGCATTCGAATGGAAGACAAAAGTTTAGTCAATGTATTTTCAAAGGAGGCAAGGGCAGAGGAAAGGCAGGGGTAGTGGAGAACAACGGGCTTTGACAGTAGAAGGTACAGCCATCAATGGTGAAATAAGAGACCCAAAAGGTACAGTAAGTCTTATTTGGAATAAAGAAGAAATTTGAGAGATGTTGTTGAGTTGGAGGAGACAGGAGACATATGAAGGGTCAAGGCTATATAGAGATTAAAACACAAGGCTTAGAATTTTTAATTTAATGCTTTCTGAGACCAGGAGTCAATTTGTCTTTGCAGAGGGAAAACAGAACTTAATTTGCGTGAGCATTGGAAAAGTTGAGTCTTTATTGGTTTGTCCTTGATCTGCTGTGATGTTATTTGTAGAAATCAAAAGGCGAACTTTTCAGATTTTCATTGTAAAGAAATTGACATTGCTATACTTCAAGATGGTGGTGGAGTAGGGTTCCTGAGCCCAGGGTTCGTCTGCTCCATGTGCTTTTTGTTTCTTTATTTTCTTCTGCTTACAGTCATAAAGTCAGAATTGTACAGCACAGAAACAGGCCCTTCGGTCTAACTTGTCCATGCCAACCAGATATCCCAAGTTCATGTAGTCCCATTTGCCATCATTTGGCCGATATCTCTGTAAACCCTTCCTTTTCATGTACCCATCCAGAAGCCTTTTAAATGTTGTAATTGTACTAGCCTCCACCACTATTTCTCTTTTCTCATTGTTTCTCTTCTTTTCCCTTATCACCTGTGAAGAGCTCAGTTGCGGCAATGGCATCGGTGGCAAGTTTGGGTTCTGGTGGCTTCTATAATCGATGAGGTGAGCCCAGCACCAACTTGCGGCTGCTGCAGTGGAGGGGAGTTTGGTTCCCCATGATGTCTGCATCCAGTGCAGATACATGAAGGCAGCAGCAAAGACGAGTTCATAGGAGACCTGGTGGCAGTGGTGATGGCTGCATTGGCAAGGCGGGCCCAGAGCAGACTCTTAGCAGTGGCAGCAGAGTTCAGTTTAGTCAATCTGGGACCTGGTGGCATTGGTGGCGGCTGCATTGCTGACGTCCAGCGAAGCCGCATGGTGGCGGCGGCGTCAGTGGTGGCAAGATGGCACTCTTCTGGCGGTGCAGCATGGGGACTGGTGGCTGGCTGCTCCAGGCCCATGACTGAGTAGTGAACAATAAGGATTGTAGTAGCTGAACTTTATTTCTTTATTTTTCTGCCTTTATATTCTATGTTTTGGTTTATTTTTCTGTGTTTTAAAATGGAGTCAGAAAGTAACGATACTCTCCAACACTTTTCACTGTATTTTATAACAAAATACACGCGACAATAAATAAATCAAATAAAACAAAAATGCTTTAGGTTGTGCCAAATGCAGATATGGATAACCATAAAGGTGTCTCAGATACCACTTACATTGGAAGGAAAATAGGAGCAAATAAAATAGCACCCTTCTTTTGTCTGCAATGAATTAATTCTTTCAGGATCATTGAGAGCACAGCAATGAGAAATTAGCCAAATCATGAAGATGTCAACAAATCAGCAACAAATTAATTTAAATGTTCTACAAGAAAACGTGACATGAATATAACACAATAAATAGGACACATTAACTGAGCAATTTAATGGAAATTTACATCCATCCTGATTCATTGGCTTGAAATATATCCATTGGTAATTCTGTGGAGGGTTAACAGTATAAGCAAACAAGCAGTACAGTAAACAAGGACAGTTGAATATTATTACACTGTACGATATAACTTGAAGAAATAAGTCTTTAGTCCAGCAAGTAATTCCTTGATTTAGCAAGTTAAATTTCTAAGTAACATTTAGAACATTTCTATTTTGGCTTCATGTTCTTCGAATCAACACCTTCAAATATGTGTTACATACTTAAGTTTTGTAGTCTGTATAATTGGGTCATTGTTTTGGTGTGACGACTCAGGGTTAACAAAGCATTATCATAAACTAGGAATTTGTCTACCTTCCAAGTATCGTGTTCTATAGGCATCTTCAGGAAATATCCCACGCAGATACGTAATGCATGATACTCCCACAGCCATCATTCTCTTAATGAAAACAAGGGATTGGTGTTGTGTTGTCACATCATTTGGAAATATTGCACTCCACTAGCAGCACAAAAAAGAGCATACGTTAGTGGAAAAATAAAGTAAATTACCCTAAAATTATTCCACTTCTGAAAATACCTCGCAAATCTCTTCTTCACAAATTAAAAGTAAATCAGACATTTTGCTATCAGCTTAATATTTAACATAGCCCAGACATTTTATTCCTGGACAAAAAGAAAGTGGAAGAACCAGA